CCTCCTTCTCCTCCTCGCCTCTCCTCCTCCTTCTCCTCCTCGCCTCTCCTCCTCCTTCTCCTCCTCGCCTCTCCTCCTCCTTCTCCTCCTCGCCTCTCCTCCTCCTTCTCCTCCTCGCCTCTCCTCCTCCTTCTCCTCCTCGCCTCTCCTCCTCCTTCTCCTCCTCGCCTCTCCTCCTCCTTCTCCTCCTCGCCTCTCCTCCTCCTTCTCCTCCTCGCCTCTCCTCCTCCTTCTCCTCCTCGCCTCTCCTCCTCCTTCTCCTCCTCGCCTCTCCTCCTCCTTCTCCTCCTCGCCTCTCCTCCTCCTTCTCCTCCTCGCCTCTCCTCCTCCTTCTCCTCTTCTCTTTACATTGTAACACATTTAGGAACTCCTCGGCACCTTGTTACAGCCATGGCAGACCTGGGAACCCTGCAGAGGTCTCCCCAATACAGTCCCGGAGAGGTTTCATTCTCTGGTATCTGAACATTGAAATGTCTCTTGAGTGGACTGGCCCTTTAAAGTGGAATTCTGTGTCATAAACTCCACCATCAGAATACCAACCAGTGTGCTCGGTCCCGTCCCCTCCACTCTAATTCAGATAGGTGCGGGGTGGTGGTGGTGGGGTGGTATATTGGGGGTGCACAGTGTGCAAAGTTTTGGGGTTTCTGACTCTTATCAGGAAATAGATAAATAGACAATAACAGATGAACATTAGAACAGGAAACATCACATGTGTCGTCTTATCCAATCACAATACAGGATTATTCATCTCTCATTCTGTGTCTGTTCTCTCCAGGCTCTCATGACGGCTTTGTACGTCTGTGGCAGTGCGGGGAGGGATTCCGGGGTCTGCACCCCCTTCTCACCATTCCCCTGGTAAGTCATAAGTGGTCAGGTAAAATCTATGATGTCACCGCTCTCTAGTGAATGAATAGGCTGCATTCTCAGTGATGTCACCGCTCTCTAGTGAAGGGATAGGCTGCATTCTCAGTGATGTCACCGCTCTCTAGTGAATGGATAGGCTGCACTCTTAGTGATGTCACCGCTCTCTAGTGAATGGATAGGCTGCACTCTCAGTGATGTCACCGCTCTCTAGTGAAGGGATAGGCTGCATTCTCAGTGATGTCACCGCTCTCTAGTGAAGGGATAGGCTGCATTCTCAGTGATGTCACCGGTCTCTAGTGAATGGATAGGCTGCGTTCTCGGTGATGTCACTGGTCTCTAGTGAATGGATAGGCTGCATTCTCAGTGATGTCACCGGTGTGAATAGTGAATGCCTCCACTGTGTCTCTGGTCTGATTTGAGTTTTTAGAATCATTTTCAATGTATTAATTTGCTCCCCTTGTCCCCCCCAGGTTGGATTTGTGAACTGTCTCCAGTTTTCCAGCACGGCGGACTTCCTGGTGGTTGGAGTTGGCCAAGAACACAGGTGAGATGTCTTCTGGGCTTTCAGTTCAGGTTTGCCGGGAGGTCCCCATAGAGGTGGAGCGAGCCGTGAGAAGAGCGGATCACGCCGGGCTCCTGCTGCCCCTCCATGGGTGGATCCTGTAACGCGTTTTGTTTTTCTGTTACGGTGACAACAAAGGAGATTTCTGCCTTCACCACAAACATACGGTGTCACCAATTATATACAATGTACATGAAGCAGCAATCATCAGAGGATGGGGGAGGTGAATACAGTCATATCTGCTCTATATCTCTAGCTAGTACCCCCCCATCCCCCGGCTGATCCTGTGCCGACCGCTTCGTGTTGGGTACATTGTATATATTTGGTGACGCTGCGTGGAATCTCCTTTGTTACATCTTATCTGATTGGCAAGTTATTGTTTCCTGGAGATTGTAGCTGCTCGCAATGATTTTATTTTACTACCTTTTCCCCTCCACAAGTATTTATTTCTATGATACATAATGTAATTTAC